TGTAGCCAGGCTTTCAGGGATAGGTGTCGCCTGCAGCTCTTCTCCAGGTTTCTATCTAGATAAAGCCTTTGAGTTATCTTCCTCACAGAATTCTATTTAAATGGCCTCTACTGTTTTCTTCTTGAATCTTTTTATAGCTTCCGCTCTCCTTTCCATTGATGCCGTATAGTTAAATCTCAAAGCAATCTGTGACTAGACTCCCTCTTCTTAAAAGGAATCTGTTCCAGAGCAGTTTTTCCGAGTGATTGACAGCTGTGTGGTAGGGGTGTGGGCAGAGCTGTTGAGAGCTGCCAAGCTACTGCTAAAATGGCCAGACACTAGGCCCGAGTTTTACACTGTTTTCAAACTGAATAAGTCTATTGTAAAGGGATTACAATAAAAAAAAACAGTGGAATAGTGGTTAGAATTAATCTATTAACTCAACAAATATTTGTGGACTATCTCCTATGTGCCTGGCACCCTCTAGTTCATTGCTAGCCCATAGAACTATAATAGTAATATGTAATTTAAATGTAGTAGCCATCACTGCCATTAAGTTTTTACAGTCTGGTGTGTATTTTATTCTTTTTAAAAACTATTCTTAGCTGAAAGATGGTGGCGCACACTTTTAATCCCAGCACTTGAGAGGCAGAGGCAGGAGGATCTCTGTGAGTTTGAGGCCATCCTGGTCTACAAGAGCCAGTTCCAGGACAGGCTCTAAAGCTACAGAGAAACCCTATCTTGACAAACCAAAAAACAAAACAACAACAATAAAAAGCTAATTCTTAGATTTATTCATCTTATATTTTATGTATATGAGTGTTTTGCCTGCATGTATATCTGTGTACCATGCATGTGCGTGGTGCCTGCAGAGGCCAGAAGAGGAAATCAGATCCCCTGGAATAGGAGTTACAGACAATTGTAAGCCACCATGTGGGTGCTGGAAGTTGAACCCAGGTCCTCTGCTAGAGTAACAAGTGCCCTTAACTGCTGAGCCATCTCTCCAGCTCTATTCTTTTTTTTTTTAAATATTTATTTATTTATTTATTATGTATACAATATTCCGTCTGTGTATATGTCTGCAGGCCTGAAGAGGGCATCAGACCTCATTACAGATGGTTGTGAGCCACCATGTGGTTGCTGGGAATTGAACTCAGGACCTTTGGGAGAGCAGGCAACGCTCTTAACCACTGAGCTGTCTCTCCAGCCCCCTCCAGCTCTATTCTTAACAGCCCTGCCACACTTCATTGGTCAGTAACTCCTTGTCACTAGGGACTAGTGACAGACCGGCAAGGAGGATTGAGGAAAGATCGGTCACAAATGCTACTCAGAAAACCCCAGTGTACAGAAAACTAAATGACTAACATTAAAGAAAAGTGATTTAGTCACCTTGGTGAGTCAGGAATGTCACCGAGAAGGCGGTGTGGACACAGTCCTGCTTGTTATGATGGAGCAGCCTAGTGAAGCAAAGTTCCCACAAAGCTTGCTGCCAACGGGTGCCTGGCCCCACCTCAGCTAAGCCTCCTTATGCCATGCCAAGAAGCTGATGGGAAGTGTCTTTCCATTCTGCCTGACTGTCTATACGTCCCCCGTGTTTGGTTGGAAAACCTGGAAGGGGGTGGAGTAGGGTAATGCTGGTCAAAGGTTGCTGTAGTCACCATACCTAGGATGGTGACTACAGTTAATAACACCGCTATGGTTTTGGAAATTGCTGACAGGCCTTTGAAAGAAATGCTAAGAATGTGAAGGTGTGCATATGTGCCTATGCTCTTAGCTCGACAGACCCCTCCCCCACTACCCGTGTCCCTGAGTGTCAGTATATCTGTCACATGATATCCAGTAAGTATGTATTGCATATCAGTCCGATAACCTCCCCATCCAACCAAAGAGGGTCATGCAGGTATAATCTCAGCTGAAGCTGGATCTTTCCAGTCTGTTTCGTTTGTTTTGAAGCTCTACGCTAATTATGGTTTTGTTTTCCAGTAGCCAAGTTTAGGCTGGGTCCAGACGCTAAGACACAGCTACCGGTTTCTTCTTTTAGATTCCAGATTCCTGACCTGAAATAGCAAGAGATGAAACCCCCAAATCCCAGAAATAGAGTATGAATTCTGGGCAGGGCTAGGGTTTAGGAAGAATTTTGAGTGAATAATGGCACAAGCGCCGTGATAGTCTAAGGGGTCTCATTTCCTCTGTTTAAAGTGGTCTGACTTGTCTGTCTGTCACCGAGTGTCTCTTGGTAGCCTGACTGCGGCATCGGGAACAAGCATATGAAGTTGCTGCTGCGAGCAGACCTCCTAGTGATGAGGACAAAGTGAGGTTGGGGGTCAGAGTGTAGGTGAGGTGCAGCCATGGAGTGGCACTCTTGTGGAGGGAAAGGTTGGTGCAGAGTCCTGAGGTTGGGACTTACCAGAGAAGCATAGGGCCGGGGGGCGGGGGGGGGACCTGCGACTTGAGGGCAGTGTATTTGGTTTGGTTGATTATAAGGGTAACTGAAACCAGAAGCTAAGAAGCAAGGAGAATGGACAGGAGCCAGAACAGAACCCAGAGAGCAGTTCGAAGACGGCGTATAAGCCAGACAGGTCCTGTAGAGTCCAATAGTAGCCATAGAGATGGGAAGGAAGATTTGTTGAGGCTTTTGGAGACAATCTTGATTGAACTTAACAGTGAATTTGGTCTGGGCAGAGAGAAGTCAAGGCTGGGCCCTTTTATGTTGTGTGGTGCACCAGCACCAGCATATAGAAGAGTGGATGCTGTGTGCACGGGAGGGTGGGGCAAGTGTGAATAGGATAGGATGGCTGTGGTCTTTCCAGGCTCATCACTGTTCATTTCCTGAAGGAACCAGAGAACCTCAGCAATGCGTTTTTTTCTTCAGAAAGCTAAGACACAATGCATTAAAATTCTGTCAGAAGACTGAATTTTCAGCAACATCCTTATTTTATAAAACAAGATGCATCTATGGGTCCAGCGAGATGGCTCAGTGGGATTTTAAAAGTACTTGTCACAAAAATAAGCTTAAGCCCTCAAACCCATGGTGGAAGGAGAGAGAACTGGCTCCTGAGAATTGTCTGACCTCCTCCACACGCCCTGTGGCATTCCTGTGTGTGCGCCACACATATACAAAGATTCTTAAAGAGATACATTTATGTATTTCCTATTGTACACATACCAGAAAATGCTTGTTTTTTTTTTTTATGTGAATCATTATTGCCTTCTGTTTCACTGATACCACCGTGCCAACCATTACATTAGCACTGTGTCACTAAGGAAAGAGACAGCCCCTCTGTCTATCAAAGTTTCTCTTGTAAGGTGTATGCCAGCTGCTTTGAGGCCCAGATGTAAAAAAAACATGTAAAAGCAGGTTTTTAAATATATGAAATACTGCTTGTTTAAATTAGTTTCTATGGAGTCTGGAGAGGTTGCACAGTGGTTATGAGCGCTGGCTCAGTTGGGCAGTGGTAGCATACACCTTCAGCCCTGACGCTCAGGAGACCCAGGCAGATCTTTGAGTTTTAGGACAGACTGGTACAGAGCGAGTTCCAGGACAGCCAAGGGCTACACAGAGAAACCCTGTCTCAAAAAACAAAACCCAAACTGTTCTGGCGGAAGCCCCACCCCAGCCCCTGGCATCCATATACTCAAAGAGTCTGGAATGTTCCTGTGGAAGCTCCACCCCAGTCCCCCCTTCCCTGTCTCTCTCTCCCCAAACTCTGCCTTATCTCAGAAAGCCCTCCAAACAGAACTCCTCCCCCAGAGATGCTCAAGACCACTCCCATAGGGCATTTAAACTGCACCCCCCCCAAAACAGACACGTGGCTTTTTTGGTCTCTTTCCCCGTCTCCTCTCTGAGGGGCTGGAAAATCATCAGAGAACCTTTTACCCATTAAACCTGGGCTTTTTTGAATTGGGTTTGATTTGGTCTGATTTGGATTGCTGCGTTGGCAGAGAGGCTTATGGAGTGCAGAAGCTTTTCACAAACAAAACAAAAACAAAAAACACTGGCTGCTCTTTTAGAGAATCCAGGTTTGATTCCCAGCACTTGCATTGTGGCTTACAACTGTCTGTAACTACAGTTCCAGGGCATCCAGCTACCTTTTCTGACCTCTGTAGGCATTGCATACATATAGCACCCACTCACACACAGGTAAAACATTTATACACATAAATGACTTATAAAAATTAAGTTACTGGTTATTTAATAACACCCACAAAAGCGTCAAATCCCAGAACTTTTGAAGTGAAATGAGCACAAAGGTAGTCATGGTGTTGAAACCTCCTCCGGCCTCTGACTTACAAGTCAGCGTCAGAGTTTCTTCACTGGTTCACGCTGTAGAGAATGACAGGAGTGCCCACTTTGAGGAGACGCAAAAGCCCCTGGAGAGGGGGTGCAATCATCTCATTGGGGAAATGCTCAGGTGCTGGTATACAAGGGATTGAAATAGGTTTGTCTAAGGGTGCTGCCTGTCAGTAGACCTAGATGTGAGTCTTCGAAGCGGAAAATGAACAGGATGTGAATGGAAGGGCTTGTATTCTGCAGGGCAAGCAACAACATAGGAAGTGCCTTGATAGAGGGCTTAGTGCAGGAGTGTGGTGGCAGACCTCCGTGGCAGACCTTGGCATATATCGGCTGTGTTTTCACAAGGTGTTTGGCAGGGTCCCTGGGGGCACAAGAATGTATTAGTAGTAACTTGGAGCAGGTTAAGCTAGGAACTAAGGACACAGGAGAGGTGGGAAGTGGATCCAGTAAGTCTGCCCTAAAGGAGGTGAGGAGGATGCTTGGAAGTGGGAAGTATCCCTTGACCTAAAGACTCCTGGTTCCTTCTGAAGGGGAGCTTAAAGACATTCATTGGCTGGAGTCAGGCACAGTTGCCTCTCACATTCTTCCTGCTTTGGCATTCACAGGAAAATGAGACCTCATTCACCAGGTCCACCACACCAGGTTACTGTGAGTCATGCAGTAGGGAGGGTTGCCACTGAGTCACCACAGTGGAATGCAGCCTGTGGCTACTGTTACTGCCCTAGGTCATTTGAACGACAACTCTCTCCCACCAAGTCTTGGGCAGACAGCAGCTTCCCTAGTCTGGTGGTGAGGCTGAAGTATGACGTCTCCTTCCTCAGAGGAACCGCTGCTGCTGGCTGAACTCAAGCCTGGACGGCCCCATCAGTTTGACTGGAAGTCAAGCTGTGAGACCTGGAGTGTGGCCTTCTCCCCAGATGGTTCCTGGTTCGCCTGGTCTCAAGGACACTGCGTGGTCAAGCTGGTCCCCTGGCCATTAGAAGAGCAGTTGTAAGTCCTCTTTGTACCCTGGGGAATGCGGGAGGTCTATGACAGTCATTGGGTGTTTTCCCAAGTTGGTCCCTGCTCTTTGGGGTCTTTTCCAAAAATAGGTGAGCAAAGAAAGGCTGAACAGTTGAGGACTTGATCACGGAGCCCAGAGCCCCACATCCTGTTCGCACAGAAGCGAGGTCTCTAGGTGTGCTGGCCTTATACTCACTTTTTTTGGCAGTTTTACTGAGGTAGGGGTGACACCCATACAGTTTGCACATCTGAAGTGCACAGTGTGGCGGCTTCAGCATTTGCACTGAGATGTGTGCCTATCACCACAGTCAATTGTAGAGCATTGTCATTTCCTCAGGAGGACACCTCTTCCCTTTCTCTTTGGCTCTGGCTGGGCGACCACTGTGTCTTCCGCCCCCACTGTGGATTCACCTGTCGTGAATGCTTCTTCCTGGGATGTTTCTGTATGTGTGTGTCTGAACATAGCTCCCGCATAGTGCCTCATGGTTCATGCTGGGTGCCGCTGTTCATGGTGGATGTTAGGTTTTGTCTTCACTCTTGGATTGTTGTAAACAGCTGTGCTCTAAATGTTTCTGGACACATTTGTATGGCTGTGTACATCCAGGGTTGGGCTGAGAGAGTGGCCGGCTGTTTTTCAAAGAGGTGGTAGAGGCTTCCATTTCCCCGAGTTGTCTTCGGGTTTGAAATTCTCTACATCCTTGGTACACTCAACACTTGTCCTCGTTTTGTCCCAGCCTGGCACTCCTGGTGTGAGGTGGGATCTGGTTTGCATTTCCTTCCTGGCTGCTGTTGTTGAGCGCTTTTTTCTCTGCTAATGAATCTCTTGAGTCCTTCCTTCTCAGGAATGCCTCCTCAGATCTTTGGCCATTTTCTTGCTGGGTCTTTGTTTCTTTTTTGTTTGTTCCTTTGTTTTCTTTTTTTTTTCTTTCTTCTTTTCTGTTTTTCTTTCTTTTTTTTTTTGCTGTTGTTGTTTCAGGACATGGTTTCTCTGTGTATCTTTGGAGTCTGTCTTGGAACTCCCTTTGTTAGACCAGATTTTCCTTGAGCTCACAGAGATCCGCTTGCCTCTGCCTCCTGAGTACTAGGATTAAAGGCGTATGCCAGCACCTAGTTTATGGCTTCGTATGCAAAAGTTTCTCTTGGGATAAACGGGTTCCAGAGTCTAAGAGCCGTGAGCTCCTAGTTGATGTAATTCCCATCTGTCCTGGGGTAACTGCATCTCCCCATTTATTTATTCACCTAGCATGTATGCATATGTTGCAGATCTGCACTGGGCATTGACTAAGGATAGCAGAGTTTGTTTTGGGGGCTCTCGGCGTCTCCTAAGTAATGGGCCAGATTTCAGCTTGAGTATCTCTGTGAGAAGCGCCCTGCCTCAGTAACGCCACCAGGAGTCCTGGTTGTCCTGCACTGCTGGGGGGAAGGTGTGGCTTACACAGTCCCCACTTCCTGGAACCCAATTCTCAAGAATCCTTGGAATGTCCAGAGTGGGGCCTCTGAAGTGACTGGAGGTAGGCTGCCTCCTGTGTGGCTTCAGAAAGGGGACTGGTGGCCCTGAGTAATTTCCAGTTCCTGCTTTCTGTCTAGGTAGGGAAGGTCAAGGTCATTCACTGCTCTGAAGAAAGTGTTACATCTCTAAGGAAGCTGCAAGAGAGACTCTGTATCTCCCTCTGCCTAGGGTCAGCTGCTGTCTGAAAGTCTTTGTTGTTTTGCTTTTGTGTTTGTTTTCCTCCAGGGTTCTCTTTCTCAAGCGTATACATTGTTGTAGATAGAGACCCCTCCTGCTTCCTTGTCATTTACCAAAGCAAGAAAAGTATTTACTAGTGTGCTAAGTGACAGAGTACTTGTTTGGGGGAAATCACAGATTTTGAGGAATGATAATCTGGTGCAGTACAAGCAGATGGCTTCCTTTTAAAACAGCAGGCAGGGCAGTGGACTGTCATCCCAAGTGCTTGTGAAGCCGAGGCAGGAAAGCAACCCCAGCAGCTTAGCAAGACTCAAAAGTAGGGTGCAGCTCAGCAGTGGGGTTTCTTTCTGAATGTGTGAGGCTCTGGGTTCCATCCCTTCTGGAAACAATACAGACAGCAAAACAAACCACACAGATGGTGATGCATTACATACGCAGTCGTGTGCAGTGGGCGTGTGTAGAAGAACAGTGGTGTGACATGACACATGTGACTTAGACGTGAACACAGCCATTTGTATGCTGTGTTTACTGTGGTTAAAGTGTGCTTGAACTGTGAGTCGTTTGGTCCTTGCTGGACCTTGGACCAGGCCTTTGGTGCAAGTGTCCTTACACAGAGCTTTGTCCCCAGTCGGAGAAACATTATTTGTTTCATTTCTGGATCTTCATTATTTCTTATGTTTTATAAGTTAAAGTAATTGTTACTGGCAGTATTTACATTCTTGTTAGGGTTTATTTGACCTTTGTCTACTTATTTATTCATTTTCTGACAGAGCTAGAGTAGGACCTTGCCTGTGTGAGAAAAATGCTCTGTAATTGAGCTACATGCCCAGCCCAGAACAGGCTCTGTGTAGCCCTGGCCATCCTGGAACTTGCTATACAAACCAGGCAGGCCATGAACTCCCAGAGATCCCAAAGGCATAAGCTGTTACTCATTTTTTTTTTCCTTAAATCCTGTTAGCTGGGCATAGTGAAGCACTCTTTTCTTTTTTAGATTTATTTATTATGTATGCAGTGTTCTGCCTGCATGTGTGCTTGCATGCCAGACACGGGCACCAGATCTCATTACAGATGGTTGTGAGCCACCATGTGGATGATGGGAATTGAACTTGGGACCTTTGGAAGAGCAGCCAGTGCTCTTAACCGCTGAGCTGTCTCTCCAGCCAGTGAAATACTCCTTTAGTCCCAGCACTGGGTAGGCAGAGGCAGGTAATCTACACAGTGACTTCCAGGACAGCCAGAGCTATAAAATAGAGAGGTCCTGTCTTAAAAATTTTCTATTAGGAAATGCTTTTATTATTGAAAGACTACGTGGTCAATCATTAATCATAGGCACCACTCTCAAGAATAAAAATCTTAGAAATTGTTTAAACAGTTAGGTGTGTGCATGTGTGCGTGTTCGTCTGCACACATGTGGAAGCCAAGGGACAGTCTGTAGGCATCAGTTCTCTCCTTCTGCCATGTGGGCCCAGGCATCAAGCACGGACTGTCAGGTTGACAGCAAGTGCCTGCCCTGCTGAGCCATCCCACCTGCCCAGATCTCAGAAACTTTGATTCAGGAAGCCAGGTTCTGCTAGAGTCCATTCAGTTAGCCCCTCTTCTCAGTGTGTGCTCTGCCGCCCCTCCCCTTCCAGAGTGTCTGTCTCTCTTCTGGGGGCCGCCCAGAGCAGTTTTTGAGCACAGGGCTAGGATACTGTGGTGTGGACTTGAATTCCAGCTCTACTCCCCTCTTGTGACCCAGTGAAATTCATTCCTCTGAAGTCTCACTGTGGGCCGCTCCTCCTTGCTTTGCTCAGTGAAGAAAGAGCCTGTGTGTGATAGTGAGACTGTACTGCTTCTGATGCTGTGACTGTTTTAGTTTATGTAGGCTGCTTTAGGGTCCCCGAGGAGAAACTGCAAAGTTCTCAAGAGCATAATCAGCAAACCCTATTGTTGAGCCATACATGACTTTCCCTTTCTAGAAAAGCCCAACATATTAAATGAAATGAAACAACGCATAGTTTTTTATTCCTTTGAGTGAAGGGGCACAGAGTTGCCCTTCATTCAGATAGAGGAATAAGAGTTGTGCTTTTGAAAAACTGGAGGTTCTAAGCTGTTTCATTCCTCCTGTGCCTTGTTCATTTTCCTCTTTAGAGACAGGGTCTCCCTGTGTGGTCCACACTGGTCTTAAACTACTGATCCTCCTTCATGAACTTCCTAAGTGTTAGGATTAGAGGTGTGCAGGACCACCCACCTAGCACTGTGGCTTCTTTTCTTTTCTCTCGTCTTTGTTCTTCAGACAGGGTTCTCTATGTAGCCCTGGCTATCCTGTAGACCAGGCTGGCCTTGAATTCAGAGATCTGTCTGCTTCTGCCTCCTACGTGCTGAGATTAAAGGTGTGCACCACTATGCATGGCTTTTGTGGTCTGTTTCTACCCCAAGATGACAACCTGGTCCCTGTGTCAGGCTCAGGCAGGAGTGAAAAGTATAGACAGTGCAGCGAGCAGGAGCATGTGCACTGACAGGACCAGTAGAGACCCTACTGAGATGACATTTGGCCATTTGGATCAGAGGTAACAGGCAGTTTGATTTTGATGTCTGCATCCCAGGATGATAAGATGCTTCACATCTGGAAGATAAAAAACATGGTGGGGAGGTGCCTGAATCATTTAACAACACCAGAATCCTATATTGCCTTTTCCTTCATCTGTGGGTCAGGTCTATCCTGCTGGCTCCTTCAGTATTGTGCTCTACACAGAAATGAGGGAGCCAGGGTTCCAACAAAACCTCTATTGTTTTGTTTTTTTTAATTGATTTTATTGAGCTCTTCATTTTTCTCTGCTCCCCTCCCTGCCTCTCCCCTCCCTTTCAGCCCTCTCCCAAGGTTCCCATGCTCCCAATTTACTCAGGAGATCTTGTCTTTTTCTACGTTCTTACTTCCCCTGTAGATTAGATCCATGTAAGTCTCTTTTAGTGCCCTCATTGTTGTCTAGGTTCTCTGGGATTGTGATTTGTAGGCTGGTTTTCTTTGCTTTATGTTTAAAAATCACTTATGAGGGCTGGAGAGATGACTCAGTGGTTAAGAGCTTTGCCTGCTCTTCCAAAGGTCCTAGGTTCAATTCCCAGCAACCACGTGTTCACAACCATCTGTAATGAGATTTAGTGCCCTCTTCTGGCCTGCAGGAATACATACAGGCAGAACACTGAATACATAATAAATAAAATAAATCTTTTTTTAAAAAACCACTTATGAGTGAGTACATATGATAATTGTCTTTCTGGGTATGGGTTATCTCACTCAATATGATGTTTTCTAGCTCCATCCATTTGCCTGCAAATTTGACGATGGCATTATTTTTTCCTGCTGTGTAGTACTCCATTGTGTAAATTTACCCCATTTACCTTATCCATTCTTCAGTCGAGGGGCATTAAGATTGTTTCCAGGTTCTGGCCATGACAAACAATGCTGCTATGAACATAGTTGAGCACATGTCCTGTGGCACAATTGAGCATCCTTTGGATATATACCCAAAAGTGGTATTGCTGGGTCTTGAGGAAGGTTGTTTCCTAATTTTCTGAGAAATCATCATACTGAAATTCAAAGCGGCTGTACCAGCTTGCACTCCCACCAGCAATGCAGAAGTGTTCCCTTTTCCCCACAACCTCTCCAGCATAAGTTGTCGTCAGTGTTTTTGATCTTGGCCATTCAAGATGGAAGTTCAGAGTCGTTTTGATTTGCATTTCTCTGATGGCTAAGGATCAAAATCTCTATTTTTAAACCCTGTCATTTGACTGGGAATGAACTGGCATATCTCTAGCCTCACCTCTCAGGAGGCAGAGACAGGCATATCTCTGAGTTCCAGGCCAGCCAGGGCTATATAGTAATTAAGACCGTGTCTCAAAAAGCAAACAAATCCTGTCATTTTCTACAGTATCGGTAAACCTAGAAGACATCATAAAAAGTAAAATAAGCCACGGGCCTTCATCTGTGGAATCTAAAAAAAGAATGGCCTGCTAGAGGGCAGGAGTACAGTGCTGGCTACCAAGGGTGAGAGTGGTGTGTGGCTCGATGTTGGCAAGTCTGCAGAGCCCCGGGGTGAGAGGGAATGTGTGAGAGGCTCATCCTTTGTCTCTGTACATTACATATGCACACCACCATGTTGTACATTGTAATATATATGGTTTTGTCAACATACTGTGGCTTTTTAAGACAAATGACAAAAGAATTGTTGAGCAAAAGCATACAGTGCTTCCCTGGGTATATTATGCTGCCCTCCGATTTAGGCTGGAGAGCCTCCATTTCTGCCAAATGAGCTGGATACATTTTTTTTAACATATTGCACTACACAATTGACAGAAATGTGGTTTAATGGACCTTTTCAGAGCACATGAGAATATAGCAATTCAGTCACATGTGTTGTTAGGTATAGAATTCCTTATGAAATAAATCTGAGCTTGCCTTGGGATTTGGGGTCCTCATCTGGTTTCCCCAGTTGAGTGTACAAAAACTGTCAACATCGCTCAGAAGAGTGGGTTTTCCTGTCTGCTGGTCACGTACACTGTGTGGAATGGTAAACATAGGCTTTCGGACCAAACCCTAGAGTGTCTGCTTTACCTATGCCATTGTGACAGTACTGGGTCCAGTGTGGACAGGACCTTGTGTCTGGGGCCTGAGCTTCACTTTCCTGGACTTGTTTCCCGATAGAATGTGAAAGGTCATGGCTGTGAGAGGTCCCAGGGCAGGGTCATCTGTGCAGTGCTGTGGTTGACTGTTCTACCGATGGGTCACAAACTAGATGTGCTGCCAGGGAAGTAGGTGGAAGAGCCTGTTCGTCACCAGGACTGCAGTGAGGGCAGACATGGGTATGCACCACATGGGCTATAATGGCAAAAGAGGGTTCAGTCCTGGGGATTTCCGAATTGTAGAAGGGGCCTTACTGAGCAGGAAAGCAGCAGATGGAGAGTCTCCATGTTCTAATTCTGTCTGTCGTGGTTCTAACCCCTCGCTGTGCATTGCATACCTTTCTCAGGGGGAAAAGTGTTTGTTTCTCTCCAGGACCCAAACTCAAGAGAACTTTCTGAGCAGCGTGTGGCTTGCTGGAACCTCTGTGGTCTACTTATTCCACAAGGCAGGACACCCCATTGCAGGGAGTTGCAAGTTGGATGGGCCAAAGCAATGAAGCCTGTGTCCCATGAATTTCAAAAGGACGTAAAACCGTACCAGAATTCATTGAATGCCAGAAGTGGCTTCTAGGAATTGAGTCTTGATGGCATGTTGGTTGATGTGGTTATAATTGTAGATTCATTCAGAAAATGTCTGCTTTGTCCAGCATCCCTAAAGGATTCGAAGCCAAAAGCCGGAGCAGCAAAAATGATCCAAAAGGACGAGGCAGCCTGAAGGAGAAGACACTGGACTGTGGTCAGATTGTGTGGGGGTTGGCCTTCAGCCCATGGCCCTCTCCACCCAGCAGGAAACTCTGGGCACGCCACCATCCCCAGGTGCCAGATGTGTCTTGCCTGATCCTGGCCACGGGTCTCAATGATGGACAGATCAAGATTTGGGAGGTGCAGACAGGTAGGTCTTTCTGGTTAGTAAGGTCTAGGGTGGTGTGCTCATGACATGTGGTCAGAACCATAGGCTCCATCGACCACCAGGCTGAGGAGTGGGCAGTGACTGCCAAGTCTGCTTCGCCTTACACTGACCAAGGGCTTCTGCTCCCTCCAGGGCTCCTGCTTCTGAATCTTTCTGGCCACCAAGATGTCGTGAGAGATCTGAGTTTCACACCCAGTGGAAGTTTGATTTTGGTCTCTGCATCCCGGGATAAGACTCTTCGAATCTGGGACCTGAATAAGCATGGTAGGAGAGGCGCCTAAGGCACTTGGTCCTGTATTGTTTCCCTCATCTCACCAACGCCATTTTATTTAGAGTTGTGTTCCTTCTCCATCTTACCCAACAAGCCTTTCTAAGATGTTCTTTTTGTCACCTGGTATCCCCAAAGTACTGAGCTAAAGATGTCTTAGTACCAAAGGTTCACTGTACATTTTCCTGTAGGGGCATAGGGGCAGGTTCTAGACCCCCAGGACACCATTACCTGGGAGTACTTGTGCCTCTTATATAAACTGCCGTAGACTGCACAGAACCCACACATACGCCCTACTTTAAGCCATCTCTAGAGGACTCCTAATCCCTAATGTGGGGAGTGCTCTGAAAACAGTTGTTACACTGTCTTGTTTAGGCAGCGCTGACAAGAAGATTTTACAGATAGTCTTTCTTAAAATTCTAATTTATTATTATCCTCAGGGAGCATGACACATGCCGCAGCCTGTATCTGGAGGTCAGACTGCAGGAGTGAGTTCTCTCCTTCTGTCCATATGTGGGGAAAGGATGGCAATAAGTCTTCTTCCCTCTGTCACCATTCACGGGTCAACACCAAAGCTGTATGGAACTGTCCCCTGTACACAGCTATCTCAAATAGAATGCCATAAAAACTGACCACCTTCAGAGAGACAAGTACTTTCTAAGCTGAGATACTACTTCACAAAGACACCTTTTCTTTCAGGAAGCCCCTCAACTGGCCTCCAGACCAGGGCCCTCCAGCCAGAGGAGGCATTATCTTCCAGGGAATACTAGCAATGTCTGAAGAAGTTAAAAATGGCTGCTAGAGGCTGGAGAGATGGCTCATCTTAACATCTGTTAAGAGCACTGACTGTTCTTCTAGAGGTTCTGAGTTCAATTCCCAGCAACCACATGGTCTCACAACCATCTGTATTGAGATCTGGTGTCCTCATCTGGTACCCAGACAGAACACGGTATACATAGTAAATAAATAAATAAATCTTTTTAAAAAGATGGCCTCTAAAAAGACAGAGCATGAAATGCTGGTTGACAGCCTGGAGTGCACAGGCTAGCTCCTACCAAAAACTTGTCTGGGTCTCACATCCTTAGGGGCCACAGCACTTGGGGATATCTAATATGCTGTCCTGTAGTAGAGCAGAGACGCACTTTAGAACATTAATATGCAGCTAGTCCACATACCCAGGAACACACATGTGGATTTATTGTAACTCAACATAGGTTGAGTGCCTTTTTTTCTTTTTAAAGGGTATCTGGGCAGGCAAGATGGCTCAGTGCAAAATGAACTTGCTGCCAAGTATGAACCCACATGGTAGAAAGAAATGGCAAAGGAAGCAGTCGTAGAAGAGGCCAATGACCCCACATGAGAAGGGTCAGACTGTTTGACTGCTCTGCCTCCCATTATGTGACATTTCTCCTACTTCTCAGAAATGAGAATGGTACCTTTAATTACAGCACTTGGGAGGCCGAGGCAGGAGGATCTCTGTGACTTTGAGTCCAGCCTGGTCTACAGAGCAAGTTTCAGGATAGCCAGGGCTACACAGAGAAACCATGTCTCAAAAAAAAAAAAAAAACAAATAAGGGCTGGAGAGATGGCTCAGAGGTTAAGAGCATTGCCTGCTCTTCCAAAGGTCCTGAGTTCAATTCCCAGCAACCACATGGTGGTTTACAACCATCTGTAATGAAGTCTGGTGCCCTCTTAGACATACACACAGACATTGTATGCATAATAAATAAATTTAAAAAAAAACAAAGAAATGAGAATGGTAATTAGTGCCTTAGTTTGGGCTTGCATAGTACACACTATAACAGTGGTTCTCAGCCTGCTTAATGCTTACAACCCTTTAATACAGTTTCTTATGTTGTGACCCCCAACCATAACATTATTTTCTTTTTTTAAAAGATTATTTATTTATTTATTTATTTATTATGCAGTGTTCTGTCTGTCTGCATGCTTGCTGGCCAGAAGAGGGCACCAGATCTCATTACAGATGGCTGTGAGCCACCATGTGGTTGCTGGGAATTGAACTCAGGACCTCTGGAAGAGCAGTTAGTGCTCTTAACCTGAGCCATCTCTCCAGCCCCCATAACATTATTTTCATTGCTACTTTGTAACAGTAGTTTTGCTACTGTTGTGGGTCATAATGTAAACATCTGTGTTTTCCTGTATTCAGGAGTTGGGCCACCCCAAAGGGGTTGAGAACCATTGTACTGCTGCTTGGAGCCTTTGTCAGTAAGCATCTGCCTCTCTTTCTGAAGGCCACTGAAGTCTAAGACCAGGATGTGGCATATGGCTGAAGACAGGGAGTTCACTCCAGCCCACAGACGGCTATTTCACAAGACAACAGGGGCAGGAAAGCTGTCTAGGCTTGCTTGCTTTCATAAAGCACTAGATCCCTCTCATGACCAATTTAATTTCCCAGAGACCCCATTCCAAATGCCTTCACCTTGGAGATTATGTTTGTAGCCTAGGAATGTTGAGGTCTCCACAGTCCATAGCAGCTTGTAGCTAAACAGTTACGGAGGTGTTTGGAGTGTCCTCATCCACATCACCCGTTCACTACTAGAACCCTGGTGGTCCCTGTCTGCCTGGAGCTTGAAAACAAGCGGTCTGAAATGGGCTTCTGCCCCAGCCCAACCCAGTGTGCTCTTCTTTCTGAGACAGGGCTCTCTATGTGCAGGACCAGGCTGACCTTGTTCACGGACGGCGTACACCTCTATACCCAGCTCTCACGTTTTTCTTGCTATGTGTGTAGAGCTTGCTCACCATGTGGCTTAGCCTAGGCTGGCCCTGGACTTCACTGGCGATTGTGTTTCCTCCCTCCCAGTGCTGAGATCGGAGGTTTGAGCACACCTGATGGGAAGGTCTGAGGGGAGGCTCAGTAAATCCCTTGCTGATGGGGAGAATGGACCTGGTGACAGTGACTCCGAGTGGGTGGGACAAAGTGGATTTTGGGGAGTACTTTTTTTTTTAAGTTTATTTTATGTGTGTTTAATGTTTTGCCTGTATGGATGTATGCACACAGTGCGTGTGTCTGCTACTCACAGAGGTCAGGACCTGTCAGATCCCTTGGAGTTGGAGTTAAGGATGGTTGTGAGCTATTATGTGGTGCTGGGAACCAAACCTGGGTCCTCTGCAAGGGCAGCAAGTGCTCTAACCACTGAGCAATCTCTCTAGTCCCAAGTAGGGCTTTCCAAGAAAAGGGACAAGGTATGTTACCAGGTGCCAGGCATTGTCTTACTAACCCAGCTTGCCATACTACATTCAGTTATGACGGCTAATTGCTATAGAAGAAACCATGGTTGAGTTTCACAGCTTAGTCTTTTATAGCCATATGTACACATGAACTTTGTACATTCTTGTGTGTTTCTTGCTTAGCTCTTTACGTCCCCATTGTTCCTACCTTCCCTCTTCTGTCTTCTACACTTCCCTTACAATTGGTAGCACAAGTCAAAAACCCAGAATATCTCTGTCCATACTATGTCTGTACTTGTGAACATAGTCCTGAACACAAACATAGGGTTCTGAGGTCATTTCACAAAAACAGAATCTTATTCCTCATCTTTTCTCCTGTATATTGCAGTTTTCATTAAGCAATACCCCACGTGGGAAAATCTCTTTCTATTCCTTCTGGTCTGATGGGCTAGGTATACTCCCCATTAACTCACCCATTCTCTCGTGAGCTGGCCTCGAGAAAGCACACAGCACGTGACCGATACTGTAAGGGCACAGTGCAGTGGTCCTCAGAACCAGGCTGTCTGACCTCAGAGAGTGTGCCTCTAATGACTGCACCCTGCTGTGAGCGCCTGTCCTGGACAGGTGTGAGCACTCCCAGTGCTGGGTTCATGAAGACTGTCCTCTGTGACATGCAGCTTTGCCCTGCTCACCTGTAAACTAGAGGACACCACAGGGCATGAGCTCCCTTGGCTTTCTGGCTGCTGCAGGCACAGGCTGTAGGTATTGACTTTTTCCTAGTGTTTAAAATGCTAGGTCTTGTCCTGCACTAGAATTGGGTTTGGGCTCTGGCTGAGAACTAGATGGTTGCACTGGGTCTGTCATGTTCTGAGGGCTGATTCTTCCTCTGCTCTTCTCCGGCAGGTAAGCAGATCCAGGTGTTGTCCGGCCACCTGCAGTGGGTTTACTGCTGCTCTGTCTCCCCGGACTGCAGCATGCTATGTTCCGCAGCTGGCGAGAAGTCGGTGAGCGCCCAGTGTGTGAGTGCGCACAACACTCCTGTGTCCGAGTGCAAGTGTGCACGGCATGTGTGAGCCAGTATGTGAGTGTACATACACAGCATGTGTGTGCCTGAGCTCTACACAACTCTCTGGAAGCTGACACCTGAACATGACAATGGGAGAGGATTTGGAAATGGGTACTTCATCTTTGGGAGTGTTTCCTTTTCCAGAATGGCCAAGTACAGTATTTTAAAATTATTTTTTCTCTTTTGAAGTCAGGATTTTAACAGGAGTGTTTTGTTTTGTTTTGTTTTTTTAATTTTAAATTTTTTTTTATTTTTTATTTTTTTGTTTTTCGAGACAGGGTTTGGTGCCTGTCCTGGAGCTAGCTCTTGTAGACCTGGCTGGCCTCGAACAGAGATCCATGCCTGCCTCTGCTTCCTGAGTGCTGGGATTAAAGGTGTGTGCCACTGCTGCCCAGCCAGGACTTTAGAATCTACAGCCCACATCCAGACTTATTTCCTGTGAGTTGGAATCTCTCCAGTTTGACGCTTTCTGATTAGAATTTGCAGTTTGAACCCTGATAGCAGCAGTCCTGGCCTGTTGTTTAAAGGTATTAAAGCCCAGGGACTGTCTGGAGAGGGGGCTTCTGTTCTGTTTGTGCAACTCGGCTGAGGCTGGCCTCAGACTCATTATGTAGCTGAAGAGGACCCTGACCTGATCCTCCAAGCTGCACCATCACGCCCATTTTATGTGGTGCTGGGGATGGAACCCAGGGCTTTGGGAGGAGTTAGGCAAGTTCTCTACTGAGCTACATCTCCAGCCTCGAGAATTACAAAGATAAAAAAGGAAATGTGGAGCCGGGCAGTGGTGGTGCACGGGAGGCAGAGGCAGGTGGATCTCTGTGAGTTTGAGTTCGAGGCCAGTCTGGTCTACAAGAGCTAGTTCCAGGACAGGCTCCAAAGCTACAGAAAAACAGTCTTGAAAAAACAAACAAACAAAAACAAAAAGCAAAAAAAAAAGAGCCCCTTTTTTGATGGTCTCAGCAAGGTTTAAAGTCATGAGCTAGGTCAGATACAGTCATGGGCCTGATTCCCAGGGGAAGGTACACGTGTGTGTGTGTGTGTGTGTGTGTGTGTGTGTGTCTGTCTGTCTGTCTGTCTGTCTGTCTGATTTTTTGAGACAGGGTTTCTCTTCTTAGTTTTGTCCCAGAACTCACTCTGTAGATCAGACTGGCCTTGAACTAATCTACCTGCCTCTGCCTACACAAAGTGCTGGGATTAAAGGTGTGTGCCACCATAACCTCGCTTGCTAAGGTTCTTAAACCAGGTAAACGTTAAATGTCTGGGAAGGGTGCTTCTGCTTGGTCTCAAGTGGAACAAGCTACTGCTACTACGTCACGAGGAGGGATAGAAAGCCATGTGAATGTTGAATAGGCAGCCTTCTGTAGTCTAGCCTGGCCTATGCGCTCTTCAAATGTACTGCACATTGTAAGTGCTTCCCTAAACCTGCACGGTGGGTCCTAGGAAGGCTGTAGAAAAAGAAAAAATTATACTTTCCCTGGTTGAGAGGCAGGATGGGGATTTCTGTGGTTGTAATTGCTCTGGTGTCTGAGCACCTCTGCTTCTGCCTCTGCCCCTCATCACACCATTTCTGTTGTTGCAGGTCTTCCTGTGGAGCATGCGGTCCTACACGCTGATCCGGAAGCTGGAAGGCCACCAGAGCAGTGTCGTCTCCTGTGACTTCTCTCCTGACTCTGCCTTGCTCGTCACAGCTTCTTATGACACCAGTGTGATTATGTGGGACCCCTACACTGGCGAGAGGCTGAGGTCTCTTCAGTAAGGACCTTGTGGGGTTACACATACTCCCTTGGAGTCTGGGGCAGGGAGGAACAGCTTGGGTGGAAGAACGCAGCTGGCTCAGTGCTTCGGTTCAGAATGTGAAACCACAGTGACTCTTCCCACCTGTTAACTGTAGTACCAGGTTCAGAGTGACTCTCATCAGAACTGTCACCTCCAGTTTAAATTTCTGTCCTCACAAGCTTGCTCTACTTTTTCCTTACTTTCTGTTGTTTCCAAAGCAAATGATAGTAATCCTATAATTACCACAGACCAGCCGAGAAAAGACTGCATTTTCACTGTGGCATTAAAGTGGGGGCTGACCTAGTTTGCCTAAGAAAATTAGCACAAGTGTTGGTAACCCCTCTGACACCTTCAAACCCTTGGAGCTTTCAATGGGCCTTGTTTTCCAGTCTGCAGATGGTATGGCTTTACAGGAGCACAGGCCAGAGCACTTGGTGTGTGACCTGCAGATGAGGATGCTGGGGGAGGGTAACCATCGGTCCAGACCTGGTGTTGTTTCTTTGTAGTCACACCCAGCTCGAACCTGTCATGGATGACAGTGATGTCCACATGAGCTCCCTGCGGTCTGTGTGCTTCTCTCCTGAAGGCTTGTACCTCGCTACAGTGGCAGATGACAGGTAAGGAGGGATGCAGGAGGCCGCCTTAGAGCTGATACTTGCGAGTAATGGCAGGCATTCCTCGCTGGCCTCCAACTCAGCATACATGCAACCTCTCTCCCATCCAGGCTCCTCAGGATCTGGGCTCTGGAACTGAAGGCTCCAGTTGCCTTTGCTCCCATGACCAATGGTCTCTGCTGCACATTCTTCCCACACGGTGGAGTTATTGCCACAGGGTATGTATCTGTGTTGAACAGATGGGCAGCAGTATCTCTTGCCTATACTGTGATACTTTTTAAGGGAAGAAAGTGTCGAGGATAGTCTTGCCTAAGAAAAATCTAAGGTTACATAAAATATTTTCTTCTGCCACTGTGTCATTTATAGATGTTAGTAATTAACCTAAATGCAGCAAAAGACATGTATATGGTTCATATTACCCTGAATGGCCAATTCCACAAGGAGGCCTAAGATAAGGTGATGTGGAATTTATATGGGCGATCACAGCTGAGACCACCTTACAGATGATGTCTGTAATTGATAGTGGCATTGTCTGCTGTTATGTGTGAGCCCAGGGCCTTCTCAATGCTAGGCAAGTACTCTGCTATATCCCCAGCCCTTTTCTTTCTGAGTTAGTATGTAGAGGGGCTGTGATGACAGACGGCTCTGGTCACCAAAGACACTTGCTTCTGGACAGTGTCACTGTATTGCCCAGGCCAGCCTTGAATACCTGGGCTCAGGCTCTCATCCTGCTTTAATCTTATAGAACAGTTGGGACCACAGGCATGGGCCATATCCTGGGCTCTAGTAATTCTATCAAACAGTCATTATTTAGAATTTATAGCCCATCCCAGTCAAGAGTGCACTTCAGTTTCTGGAGCCCCTATTTCTCTAGGGCCTGCTAAGAATTGGTTTCTGTTTCAGGACAAGAGATGGCCATGTCCAGTTCTGGACAGCTCCCCGCGTTCTGTCCTCACTGAAGCATCTATGTAGGAAAGCCCTTCGAAGTTTCCTCACAACATACCAAGTCCTAGCACTGCCAATTCCTAAGAAGATGAAAGAGTTCCTCACATACAGGACTTTGTAGTAGCAGAAGCAATGCAAGGGACTGGCTCGGATGGAGCCAGCAGATGACACTGGACCCGCTGTGGACCTTTCTCCCCATTGGCATGTGCAAGTAGGTCTGAGGGACCCCACTTCCGTGGTGCCAGCCTTACCTCGTCTTCGTCCATTGTAAGCGGCCTTCGTCAGTCTAGTTGTCTCGAAGCCATGTGCAGTTGTGGATGTTGTTTGGATATAAAAGCAAGCAGTCTCCAGAGCCTGTCTGGTGATGGCCAAGTCCACACTCCCTTCACTGGGAAGTGCCGCCATGTAGCATAGCATAGCATAGCATAGCATAGCACCTGCTGCCTGTGTGCAGCCAGTGGCTGCATGGGCTGAAGTTCCTATGCTCTGGTCAAAGGAATGCTCGAGTTTGGCACGTGCTTCTGATGAGGACATTCCTATGAAGCCGTTTGGTTTGTTACTCAGCTGCAGGTGGACTGGGCTGTGCCCCTCACCAATACACTAGTACTGGCTTCTATTTTTCTTTAAACAGTGGTGTGCATGTGTAGGAAATGACAAACAAGTACATCAGATCATGTGAGGTGTTCCTCAACTGCATGACGGTCAGATGGCCATTTATCAGCATCATATTTATTTGTATTTTCTCAGCAGATATTAAGGTACAACTATGTTTTCTCAGTGGTCTTTAAAAGCCAAGAGTTCTTGCGTGGCCCAGTTGTGAAGCCATGTCTAGTTGTGTGGAGTCAGTGTTGTCACTGGCTCATGCTGTCACGTGCGTGCGTTTGTCTCTGCTGCTTGACCTCATGGGATTCACCCTCCAGTTCAACTGCCCTAACACAGCCCCTTCCAAGCACTGCTCTTCACCAGCGGCAGAGCTACCTATTCGGGATGCCTCACTCACAGAAGATCTGCCTTGGGAAAGTTAATATATTTTAAATTATTTTAAAAGAAACGCAACACCTTATTCTTGGACTTTTCTTAATTGATGCTTTATAGAGGCAGTGTTAACATTGTACAATGTGTGTATAGAGGAGACTCCTCTATTATCTGAAGAAAAACATTGCAAAATGAGGCTTTCATTGAAGGGAGGAAAGAGAAAGAAAAAAAGCCTGTCTCTGTCCTTTTTTTTCTCCATTAAGAAAAAAAAATCTTGGGAGAGTTGGACTCCAGTGGGCAGTTCAGGTTCAGCCGTGTGACTGAGACACTACCTCCAACCCTGGCCACTTGGCTGCAGCTTCAAACTCCACTGGGAGACTTGGGGAGCAAGCTCTCCATGGACAAGCAGATTTCTCCTTTAGACAGCATATGCTCAACTTCACAGTCCATGGTGCTGAAAATACCTCCACCTCAGATGCACCTCACACAGCTAACCCAGTAAACAGCAAGTAGGTCATGGAACACCAGGTGCACTCTGTGTCAGTAGCGTGCACAGCCCCTCTCTAGCCCAGGGGATGTTTGGTCCCAAGGGGATGCGTACACTTTTCTACCTTGTACAGAGGCCTGCCAGAACAGCTTTATTAGGAATAGCCTCCAAGGAGAGCTTACCCTGAGACACTAGAGACAGCAGGCGTAGGGCACTGGGCGAGCACCACTCCTACCGTGGAGGATGTCTGAGTGCAGCCAGACCGCGCAGGCAGGGGCATCGCAGCACCCGTCCCTCCCCGACAAGTGAGGCTTGTGGTCACTGGCCCAGAAAGGCAGCCCTGACTGTACTTTTACAGTTTTTCTGCTGCTGTCACAAGAGAATTTGGAACCTGCTGGGAAGCCTTCTGAAAAAGAAAAGGACAGGTGTTTTGTTTCTGGATAGGGTTTATCTCAGCAGGCTGGTAATTCTGCAGTTCTGCCTCAACCTCTTGAGTCCTGAGGTTATAAGCATGTCACCACACTGGGCAAAAGACCAATTTGAAACTTTGTAACAAAACAGTTTTGATCAGAAACCCACTAGCACCCATTTAAAGTATATGCAAAAGTGAGAAAGTTTAAATCCAGGGACGCAGACCCTAAATTGGAAGATATCTGAAGGGTTGTTCAATTTGAACATCACACTGCAGACCTGAGGTGAGGCCAATTTTGTCAACCCAGCAACTGACAGTAAAGATTTTAAGCATCCCCCCCGCAAAAAAAGATTTATTTTTCCGTACAAAAGACAAGCAGTGTGGATAGTTAGGATTAAAGTTGCTTGGTAGGTCCCACTCCAGACAGCCAGATAGCACTGCCCAAATGCCAGGGGAGAGACTTCTGTGACCTCCTCTATCCAGTAGTCCAGGGCAGTACTTCACCAGTAAGCAAGTCGTCTGTCCTCTGTCACTGTTGGGCATCGGAGTGGCTAGGCCTCTGAGACTATCAGGTCTCTGGTGACTTGAAAAGCAGCGATGAGGGAGCTCAGCTGTATCTTCTCATTGGTGCCAACAGAAAGTCTGTACCTGTAGACACCAACCCAAGTTGAAAATAAAGTACACCTAGGCCCTGCCTGTGAGTGGGAGAACGTGAGAGCTGCCGTGGCTTGCCAGGGGGCACCAGAGCTGAAAACACCCTGCAGAGGGCTGCTGTCCTGCCGAGGACAGACTGGAAAGCTAGCACTGGGAGGCTCTGGATTCTACCCACTCCACCCTCCGCAGACGACGGGGCATGTGCGAGGTTACAGACTGATACAACCTTGGCTGTGGCATTGCAGAAGGGAGTTGGAGGTTTGTGGTTTAGGTAGCAGAGCAAGGCACTGGCTGTTCATCTTGTCACTTTTAAATGCCTAGCCACCGAAAGCAAAATCACTCCCAATGCAGTGATAGAAAATGACCCAGTCTGTCTATATGTGCCAGGGACAGCCTGCTGGAGCTGGGGATACTGACATTTGACTGAGGCCCAGTGTGCTGTCCACTTAAATGACAGCTACCAGTGTCACTAGGGACTAATGACAGTGTTTACTGAACTGGGAAAAGTGGGAAATTGAGCTTGTTTGCTTTTCCTCCAGTGTGCTCCTGCATGCTACAACGCCTTAATAAGAGGGTAGCTGGGCACCCCCAAACAGCCTGCATACCTGATCTGTGCAGAGCCAAAGGCTAGAGCTTTGAGGACTGAAGTGACCCTCTGCTTAGCCCTGGGACTGGGCTGTGCTTGCCCTGAGTGCTACTCTATGTTCTGCAGGCAGCCCATCCTTCAGCACATTCCACTTGGCACTACCCAAGCTAGGTCACCCCTGTCTGAGGAGCACACAAGCTAAAGCCACACAAGCTGAAACTAGAAAGCTTACAGCAGGAGACGAGACAGGCAAGGGATTGAAACTAGGAAAACACTCACTCAATGTCTGCCATCTTGGTCAGTAAATGTATCCGAACTGAAGATGGAAAGTCAACTGTGGGAAAAGAAAAACGAGTAAGATGTGTCACTTCCTAATACAAAACAAAACCACAGCCACCACACATGGGACTTCTGACAGGGCCGAGCCTCAGGCCCGT